TTTGGGCTTCTAAGTGGTCTCAGGACCACCCAAGTCCCTTAATGCATCCATCACTGCTACTGCTAATGCTAATAATATGTTGTCACTTGTCATCCTATATTTCAATATTACTACAAGACATCGCGTTATTGGTTTGCAACTAATTGTTCTTATGTATTTTTTTGCATAGGGCAACAAAACAATGGCAATTTGCAAGACAAGAGTAACACCAAAAAATCAACCTTTTAAGTTGCATCATGCTTGGGACGTCCTCAAGGATTGTCTGAGGTGATAGGGAGTAGGGGATAGGGAGCAAGAGAGGTTCGAAATTAATTTTATGATGAGGAACCTCAACAAATACACTCCAAAGAGGAAAAAGTTCTTACGTGGTAAGCAAAAGAAAATTTTACAAAAATATGCCACAATGAGTATATTTCAAGATGATGATTCATCTCAAGGCTATATCCCAAGTCCACCACCAAGTCAAGATAGTGGATATCATTATTAAGTTTATGTAGTTTATTAATTGTCGTGTGTATTAAATTTGTGGCTTATTAATTAATGTTTCTATTAATTTAGATGCCTTCTATATGTGATTTTTCAATATTTATTGGAATTTAAATATTTTTAGATTAAAATATTCATAAAATTAATTGACGATAGTTTACATAATTAAAAAAAATTAATTTAAGAAAAAAAATTAGCCTAAATTCATTCTTTAATAATTTAAAACTAAAATTTTAAACAAAAAAGGTGGGACCAAAAAATTTGTTTTTGGACTAAAAATTTTAAGTTTTAGCCTAAGGTTGGAGATAAGTTTTTCAATTGTCTTTAAATTATACTATGACACGTTTTACCCCGCCGCTTTCGACGTTAATTTTGGGCCAAAACTTTTACCCCGCCGCTTTCGGCGTGTAATAAGCACAGCTATCCGTATCCGCTTACGCTTTCAGACGCTTCTTCACCTTCCTGAGCTACTCTTCCTCAGTAAACTTTCCACCCAACAAGCTCAGCACTCAGCAGTCGCAGTCGACAATGGCAGACCGATTCTTCCCAAATATAATGCCAGACATGGTAGCCGAAGCACCAACTCCATCACCTCCACAAGCAGAACACGGAAATGACTCGCTTATGAACCTCCTCTCCACGCCCTGCCCATCTCTCTCACACCTTCTCAAACGCGCCGCCTCGGACCTCATACAAACCATCCTTACTGAGACGTGGGCCGGAGCCGCCGCCGCACAAAGCCTTCACGACTTCACTCTCTATTCCGGTGCTCTGGGCACCGCCTTTCTCCTCTTCAAATCGTACCAAGTCACAGGCGACGCGAACGATGTCACTATCTGTGCTCAGATCGTCAAGGCCTGCGACTCCGCCTCTCTGGGTTCGAGGGATGTTGTCACATTTATGTGCGGGAGGGCGGGTGTTTGTGCTCTTGGGGCGGTTGCGGCGAAGCACTGCGGCGACTCTGCTTCTCTGAGTTATTATTTGGCACAATTTAGAGAGATTAAGCTTTCCAGAAATCTCCCTGATGAATTGTTGTATGGGAAAGTTGGGTTTTTGTGGGCTTGCTTGTTTCTGAACAAACATTTGGAGGGTGGTACAATTTCTTCAGCTTACATGGTAAGATTGGTGCTCCAATTTATTGTATTAATTTGGGTTTTGTTCTACTTGATTTTCATCATTGCAATAGTTTTATAACTTTTATTGAACCCAATTGAGTTTAAATTTTGGTCCTTTTGGTTAAGTACACTATTAGAAGAGTCAAAGTTGGCTAGAGCGGTGTACTACCCTTTGCACCTAAGTTGGAATTCCCCTCCCGTAGTTTGGATTACATTAAAATATCGCTCAAACGAAGAAAAAAAAGATCAAATTGTGTGTGTATGTATGTAGTGCATTAATTTATTAATGGGTGTATGGCCGGCTTGTATTTTGGATTTGTGTGTGCAGAGAGCAGTTGTGGATGAAATTATCAAGAACGGTCGAGCATTGGGTAAGGGAGGAAGATGTCCATTGATGTTTGAGTGGTATGGGGAGAAGTATTGGGGGGCTGCACATGGATTGGCAGGGATTATGCATGTTTTGATGGACATGGAATTGAAGCCTGATGAGGTTGAAGATGTCAAGGGCACTCTCAAGTACATGATTAACAATCGTTTTCCTAGTGGTAACTACCCTGCAAGTGAAGAAGATAGACATCGAGATGTTCTAGTACACTGGTGTCATGGGGCTCCTGGGATTGCCCTCACACTTGCCAAAGCTGCTAAGGTAAGAATTTGAATGCTCTTTTCATGCATAGAATTTCATGGGCTTCTTTTCAATTGTTTGCTAATAAATTTCATGTGGATTTCTTGTCCAAACTGGTTTTGGATTTAAACGTTTAAGATTCTTTTATAATTTGTTCACTAGACATTTATCAAACGCCGTTTATTAGTATTGACCGTGAATACATTTCATTAACATTAATGAGCTATATTCGAAGTTTTTTTCCCAAAGAAACTTCTCCTTAAAGCACACATTGTGTGGTGGAAGTATAGAATTTGTGACATTCTTCCATAGAAGTTGCATTATAAACCTCACGCTGACATGAGCAAGCGGCTTTAATTGTCCGAATCTTCAAATTATTCACTGTTGACTTGTATGGCGTCTCCTCTTTTAGTCTGTCTACTATTAAAGATATGGCAAATCTCAGGTTTTTGGAGATAAAGAATTTCTGGAAGCAGCTGCTGATGCAGCAGAGGTTGTCTGGAAACGTGGACTGCTAAAGCGAGTGGGGATTTGCCATGGCATTAGTGGAAATGCATATGTGTTCCTCTCGCTCTACCAACTGACCGGAAATGTAGTGTTCTTATACAGAGCCAAAGCTTTTGCTTGTTTCCTACTCGATAGAGCTCACAAGCTTATATCGCAGGGCGAGATGCATAGAGGCGATAGCCCCTACTCCTTGTTTGAAGGAGTTGGAGGTATGGCTTACCTTTTATTGGACATGGTTGAACCTTCTCAGGCGAAGTTTCCTGCTTACGAACACTAAAAGGTGTTTGTACAAGGGGAAGGTGTAGAAATTACCATCACTCATTGTAATTTACTACTGAGTATATGTAATATGTGCAAACCGGAACCCGAAGATACGGTTCCATTTAGTTCAGTCAGCTCTCTATAATCTGTATGTTTAAATGTTACATCATTAGCAATAAAATTTATTAGCTTGATCAATTGCAGGTTGTTTCAATCTCTTTCACCAAATGTCAATGAAGTCATGTACATTATATATCCGTTATGGTCTAGGTTCTTTTTAATCCCTTAATTTGTTACTATCCTTCTATCTAGCTTTCTTTAAATTGATGGTTGTGCATGACCTAATGTGCTGCCTAATTTGAATACAGTCGCTTACTGGTTTATGCATCCTAGAGAATCCAGATATAGGATGAAAGGCCTCAGGTTCAATGTTGTAACCTGGTTGAAGGTCTATATTGCTAAGTACTAATCAGCTTGAAAGGACAATCTATACCAAAATGAAAGCAGGATGATTGTACCATGTTGGCACCTTTTTCTCTTATTGTCTACTTTAGAAAATATTCTTAATGTATGGGTTGGTGTAATGTGCTTGCATTGCTAGGACAGTGACATGAATTTCGTTTCTTTTCTTTTCTTTTTAAATTATGCACGCGTTGATGTAAGCACTGTACATGACCAACCCTATACACATGCAGTCGTATTATTTAAGTGTCTGGAATTCTGAAGGAGGACCGGCCTTAGTTACCTATGAAGAAATGAAATATATGTAAAAACTTTGCCCTTGGGACGTCCAGGATTGTGCAAATTCACCATGCTGTTAGTTCTTATGGACAAACAGGTCAGCACTTCAAAGATTGGTGGTTCATCGTTGGTGCAATTTTTTTGTTGCAGTATTGTTCACAGGTACGTGATGCGTATGGACATCCCTTCTGTTTCTTTTCTATATTGACTTTGTATTTATGAATACTTGATATGAGATTGTACTATGAACTACAGATAACAAATAATGCACAATCCTTGGAGCCTTCGACAATCGAATTTAGTGGAAAAGGTTTCCTCATAATGAAAAAAATGAAAATGACGTGACGGTGATAATGACTAAATCTTTGCACCTGCCTTCTTAAAACATAGCAGCCTCTGAAAGTAGATGACGATGAATAACATGGAATCTTGGTAGCATGAAACCCATGCATAGAAATATAATGCCAAAATCCTGAAGCGTCTGGCATTGATTGTCAAGTAAATCAATGAACTGAAATTAGTGTCAGACATGCTCAACGTTTCTCTTTTGGTAAGTATGTACCACTGCTGATTTAAATTTCTTCCACTGGTAATTCAGCCAATAAGGGGGTATGGTTTAATTCTCGTTTTTGATACGAGCCACTATAAGTTCTTCTCGACCTTGTTTTGTGTTACAACTCATTTTAGGAGTCTATCAAACCATAAATAATGCTCAAAAGTTGGTTTTTTTCTTGATAATGTTGTCAAACCTTATATATTGCAAACTGATTATTTTTTATCTTCTATTGGATAGGATCTGAACACAAACTATAAGTAGTGAATCCATATTCTGAGCATACATATCCAGCCAACGAAATGCTTGGGGTACAGGAAATCAAAGGTCATAAAAATATATTTCCAGAAGGAAAAGTTAATCATATCGAAATAAAGATAGAAGAACAGGAGCAAGAGTTTGTTTATTCCCCAAACAAGTGATGTAGCGTCCAACCTCTATAGCATATGCCACATGCAGTACAATATTTCCCTTTTTGAATATATTGTTCTCTTGAACATTGAGCGTCTATATTAGATACCATGTTTGTCAAAGAAGCTGATTAATTTGTTCTGGAAGTTCTTCCTGCACAGAATGATTCCCTTCTGTAATAAATATAATGTCCAAATTTGGCACAATTTGCTTCACTGCATCAGTCCGGATGTAGTCCTCTATTCCCGGAAAATTTAAGAGGTAGTCTTAAGCAGGGATGGAGCTGACACTTTTGGATCAGTCAACCGTACTCCAGGCCTATAGTTCTGCATCAATGTAAGGGAATTCTAATGAAATTATTATCTATTAGGAGATGTTTAAGTCTGAATGGAATTGTGTTATTTGGTTTGTTAGGTACTTTGAGGAGAATAAGCATCATATGTCAAACTAGGACAATACGGATTTGGTTGTTTATAATTCTACCACTCTTTATTTCCTCGTCTCTTTTTATTCCCATGTAAGTGAAGTGCAGGAACATACTAGGAAAAGGGTTGGAACTATAGGAACTCATAATGCAAAGGTATTCTTTGTTCTTACATACCTGTATGGATTTTGCACTGGAAAGCGGAATCCATTTTTCTCATACAAAGATGCATAGACTTCAAGATCTTCTTCCGTAAACCCTGGTGGTAGAGGAGTTGCGGGGTCAAACAAGTCCATGATTTCTTGATCAGTAGATGCTTTTGGGATCTCACTTCTGGAGAAGAAAGTGTAGACGTTCCTTATCCCTGACTCAACATCAAAGCTACCAAAATCAGCTTCTGCCCACCCTGGCTCCTGGAATAGGTAAGATAACATAGTCAACCCTTGTAATGAGTAGAAACGGTGAGGTGAAATTTTTTGTGAAGAAAATGAAGATGCTGATGGAAAAATGAATGTACCTGCCATCTTGATATGTACAAACCTTCAGGGAGGAGATGATTTTGGATGGCAGAGGGGCCTGGTTGAATGAAAGGAATCCCTAGTGTTATAACACCTGATACGCGCTCTGGGTGGAGAGCGGGTGTCAGGTATGCAGGCAGAGCAGGTGTCAGAATGAAAGGAATACCTAGTGTCATAACACCAAATTTTGCAGCGACAATTTAGGCTGTATGCATATAATGAAGTTCAAAATTATTATGGGAAAAGCTTAAGTTTTGTGGCGGAAAGAAACCCCGGCGGGGTGGGGGGCGGGGCGGAGGGATTGGTTAGCGCTGGGGAGATGTGCTATGATGGCCGTTTTCTGCCTTGCAAATGTGGGTTTTCTGTTTTGTTTTGTTGTTTCCTCTAAGGATTAAGGTGTTGGTGAAGCTTTGAAGTATTTTTCAGAAGTGGACTACGTGTGCACTGATGCTGTGTTTTTCTTACCTAATGAAAATATTACCTTGTCAATACCCAAGTATTCAAAAGGCAATCAATTTTCAACAAGGTCTTTGAAGGTTGACTTTTCCGGCTCAGCTAGCTGCTCGGACAGCCCATAGCCCCTGAAATCAATGGCTATCACAAGGGTAGCCTTTCGACGGCAACCATTTGATGCCTCCATATGTACCATATTATTATTTATAAATTATGCCGGATTACACCAGAATTTATGCTTTTCATTTGAAGATTTTTCCATGATACATTGATACCATATTATCAATTTGATCTGGATATTTGGGACTTTGCTCGCGTGTTCTCTTGTTTGGATTTATAGGCGTCATTCCTTTTAATTAATTTCGTTTACCTGAATCAGAAGAAAGCATATAGAAATTTTCTCTGGAAAATGAAGGGAGCATGGTCCATGAGGAATCCAGAAATTGTTCCGTAGCAAAAGGTACTGCCTGATGCTTGACAACTTAGACATCCATTTCATACTTTATTATTCAAATATACTATGAATATAAGGCACTTGTTCTCTATCGTTGTTTGATAAAAAAGAAAACGAGTAAATTGTGAATTGTTTCAGCATAACTTACATTACGCAGCACTGTCTAGTTGTCTATTTGTTATCTTACGTGCTTGTAAATTGTAATTGTTAGATCCCTTTGATTTTCTACATCACTACTCATATTTCTTTGATATTACTGATTAATTCCATTATTCTCTCTGTTATCTGTAGCTTTTCCCGGGTTTGACACCCTGTGTGTTATTTGTGATTCAGTACTACGGTCTAGTGGTATTCCTCTTCACTTGGAATTGAGAGGTCTTAGGTTTGAATCTCGTGGATCGTGAGTTCGATACCAAATTAGGTTGCCCATTGTGTGGCTTAGCCGAACTCCCCCTCCCCCTAGTGTAAAAATATATGGATATACTAAAAAAAATATATCGATATACTAAAAATAAATAAATAAATAAATAACTGTAGCTTTTGATTTTGCTAATTTATCTTTCCTAGTGTAATTGTCCCGTGTAAATACTGGGATCTTCCCTTTGAATGACCGATGAAGCTTTACTGAATCAGTACAGAATTAACAGTAGTAAGGTCTTGTTTACTGAATTGAAGGTTCATATAGACATACTTCCAGAACGAATAAGCGAATCAATCCAGTAGAAATAGCAGTATAGAAGAACAGAAGCTAGAGTTTCTTGCAAATATATTTTTACAAAATGTGCTTCATCATTTCCTCTGCTATATTCGTACTGTTCTTAAGCACATTGAGCATCTACATTATATACCATGTTTCTCAAGGAAACTGATCATGAACTGATTAACTTGATCAGGAAATTGTTCGTGCACAAAGTGACTCCCTTCTGCAATACATGCAATGTCCAAATCGGGTACAAAATGCTTCACTGCCCCAGACCGTATGTAGTCCTCCATCCCTGGAAATTTTAAGATGTAGTCCTTCTCACCCATGATAAGCAGTGATGGAGCGGGCACTTTTGGATCCCTGCCTAATCCGTAATCAACAACCTTAGTTGTGGATCTGCAGAAGGAAAACTCTAATGAAATTATGCTGTTCTTGGATGCTGTATCTCAGAAAAAATACTAGGAAATCAATGGGTTAAAACCTATTGAGAAAATGAGGAATTCGTGTCCTGTGAGAACAGAAGTTAAAGCAAAAGTTTTCGTTCTTGTTAATTACTGGTATGTAATTTGGATGGCATAGCGGAATCCAGATTTCTCATATAAGGATGCATAGACTGCAAGATCATCCTCCGAAAACCATGGTGGTAGAGGAGTGGCAGGGTCAACCAAGTCCATGATTTCTTGATCAGGAGCAGCTACTTGGAGCTCACTTCCGGAGAAGAGAATGTAGATGTTTCGTATCACTGTCTTGACATCAAAGCGGCTAATATCTGCTTCTGCCCGCCCCGGCTTCTTGTATTAGGTAAGAATAGCAATATCATCACATAGTAAGTGATGAACCTTGTATTGTTCAATATTCATTACAGATGAAGAGTTTTATGGAAAAAATAAATGTACCTTCCATCTTAACATGTAGAAGCCTTTGGGTAAGAGATCAAATCGGACAGGAGAGTTAGCCGGGTTGAGGAAAGGAACACCTACTGTTATCATGCCGGATATGCACTCTGGGTGGAGAGCAGGTATTAGGTATGCAGGCAGAGCTCCAAAATCCTTCCCAACAAAAACAACCTGGTTTAAATACTTAAAACATTAGGTTTTTTATTTATTTATTTTTGAACTTAATGAAGTTTAAATTCTTGTAGTTAACCTTGTTAATGCTTAAAGAATCCAGAAGGCCAACGACATCGTCAACAAGGTCTTTGAAGATTGCCTTTTCGGATTCAGCTGGCTGCTCGGATAGTCCAAGGCCCCTGAAATCAATGGCTATTGCGCGGTGGCCTTTGTCTGCAACAGCAACCATTTGATGCCTCCATGTGTACCATATTTCTGGAAATCCATGCAAGAACAGCACCACTTTTGGACCTGCACAAATACTAATATGCAAGCAGTGAATCAGTTATGCAAATTGAAGGAGAAAGTCGGTAGGATTTTGAGGCAGCATTAGAATTTAGGAGCTTGCCAGTTCTGATTTCGGCAAGGTGAAGCTTTGGTCCTCTCGCCTGCACATGTCTGTGCTGAATCTGTTCCATGAGAGCCAGAGAAAGACTCCGATGATCAGTCAGAAGCACCGAGAGGAGAAAGCTTTAGCGTATTGTCATCTCTCACTGCCATTCACGTTTCTTTTTAAAGAGACATGAGAATGTTACTTCATAACGTCACTAGTTTGGGTCCAACTGACAACCTCGTCTCATGAGTATTTCATTTTTAGGTCATCATTCCACGATTACTTTTGCGAAAGATTAGTAGGAAATTGTTTTCCCGTTTCATTGTTTATAAGAAATGTTAAGTTTGTCTATTATCTTGTTTGATTATAGTTAGCACCCTATCCAACTTGTCTGTACGTATTCTTTCATATTCAATGAATATCGTACTCTTAAGAGCCAATATTATAGTGGTATTTCTCTTCACTTATAAGCGAGAGGTCTTAGGTTTGATTATCACGAAAAACAATTTTGAACCACATTATTGTTAGCTCATTGTGAGGAATTCACCCCCTTAGTCTGTGTGTAGATGATATTATTTGTTTAAAAAAAAAAAAATTGAATACCCTACTCTTCAAAAATGTTGCGGATTTACTCCAAACAAGTGATTTGTATTAACTTATTTTAATTAGTATCACTCCAAACATGTAATACAAGTGATTTGTATTACTGTCCGGTTACATATTTTTATTGGTCTAATTGAATAAATGGTCCATGTGGTAATAGAATAGTTGAAAAATAGCTTTCGTGATGAAAAAATTCAAATTTGCACCCTTGTGGTGAGTAAGTTAGGATGCATGCCCAAAACAAAATTCCTATTAGTTATCGGTTAACCCCATTACTTATGGCTCTGTACTCAACAACCAAGCTTCTTCACCCGCCACTGCCAATTGAGAAATTAGTGACAGATGAAGTTCTCTCCAGTCTCTTCGGCTCAATCCGGAGTTCCCCCTTTCTTTTTTTTTTTTTTTTTTTTTTTTTTTTTGTTTTTTGAATGGGGAGTAGAAGTTTAAAAAATGGTCCTCCAGTTAGAAAATATCTTATTAATGCTTCTCACATGGACATTATGACTCTAATACCATATTAAGGCCTAGTTTAATACTGAGGTGATTCTAAAAAAAATTGGTATAAAAAAAAGCTGGGAGCTGTTTTTGTGTTTGGTAAACATTCAGCTTCAGCTTTTTTTCACAGTTTGGGTGAAAAAAGCCAAAAACAAGAAGCTGCAAAACCCAGCTTTAAAAAATCGACTTTTTTTCACATCTGTTTTACATAAAAGTTTACCAAACACTATAATACTGTTTTTTTTTTTTTTTTTCAAAAGCACTTTTACAAAAAAGTTTACCAAACACTCTGCTACTTTATTTCACAGCTGCTTATTCTCACAGCACAGCAAAATCAGATTTTTTTTCAAAGTACAGCAATACCAAACCAGCCCTAACACAAATGAACAATTTGCTTTTCTTTTATTTGTTTCCTAAAATAGAGGAATATTAACAAATAAAAAATTTAATTTTCTTTTATTTGTTTTATAGGGGAATATTAACAAATAAACCCTTTGCTTTTCTTTTATTTGTTTCCTGGAATAGAGGAATATTAACAATTTAGTCACCACAACATTATCTTCCTACATGGAAAATTCTGGTGCTGCGTCCCTGTTTTTGATTTATTTTCTCCTTTTCTTTCCCTTTATTCTTTTGACAAATGTGATTTATTAAAAAAGAACAAAAGTATTTTACTTCGGACAATTTTAAGTCGATGCCTTAGTCATAGATACTAACATGTTTTTCATATATTATCATTATATTTTGAAACTACGTCAGTATTAGGCAGACGTTTAGCCGAGTAAAGCAGTATGTTACATCTTCAACACTCAAGTTCGAATCCCTATTTTCATAGTTTAGATTAATTTAGTGTAATTATCATATCATTTGTTCACAAAATAAATCAACATTAGTATTACATTAAAAAAATTGATGCAAACTACTAATGATGTAGGATTGACTGAATTTCAAATATTTCTCCAACTTCTAAAATTGATCCGTCGTATCTAACATGAAGCTTTGCTCTCCTGCTCATTAAAGGGCAAAAAAAAAAAAAAAAAAAAAGAACGGCTTGGATTTCAACCATTTACTAGTGAAAAAAAAAATGTGCAGAAGGGAATTCTCAATCTTAAAATTGCATCATAAATGTGGAGTTTTGTTACTCGAGTTTAAAGCAATCATCACTACATCATAGGTCTTGAATACTTTTGATAGGTGTTAGCTTGTGAGTAAGCTTTTAAGTGATTTGGATTAGTCTAGCTCATAGGTTGGTTAGTGGTTTTGTTATAGCATATATAGTGCCCTATAACTTTGGTTTTTTGGTAACTTTCATTGCAACTTTGAGCACTCTTTATATATATATATATATATATATATAACAAACTCTATTCTACAAAGTGGGTGGTATGTTAAGGAGTCGAAGAGATTTCTTTCCTCTTTTCTTCTTCGTTTCCCTTCATTTCTCAAATTATTCAATGTAATTAATAAACTCGAATACCTTCTCTATTATATATGATAATCAACGAGAATAAATAAATAGCCAAGTAACTTGTGAAGCACATTTGTTTCTAAAATCTAATTAATTCTTCTTCTTCTTCTTTTTTTATTTTTTTTATTTTATTGTTTAACTTTTTTAGAACCTCGGCACTAGGAAATTTTATTTATATATAAAAACAAAAGTCACACCTAGTCAAGGAGATATAAGTAGTACCCTTCATAAAGCAAGAAAAACAAATACAAGAGAAGAAGGGATAAATAAACCTTATCTTTCTTTAAAAAAAAAAAATACATATATATATATATATAAAATAAAATGAAGAGACATAAACCTTACACCTCTTGAAAATAGGAGTGTTGTAGGCTTATTTGATTGAACGATCTTTAGGGTTTAGAGAGAGAGAGAGGGCCAACAACAATTAGAGAGAGGAGAGTGATTTAATTGTGAGGTGTGTTTGTATCACCCCATTGTGCCTTTATTTATAGTAGTAGAATAGGTAAAAACCTTTCCCCTTAGGATTACAACATTTAATAAACTCCTAATAGGAATATAAGATACATTCTCATATCTACTAGGATTTACACAATCACATACATATTCTAAATATGACTGCAATACTCCCCCTTGAGTGTGTAAATACTCAACAAGCCATCGCATTAGATCTTCAGCATATAAGGTAGAATAGTTGATGAAGTCATTGGCATAATGGATGAACGCGAGTCTCAAATTTAAGAAAGTATGCATTTGTAGTAAAACTCACAAAACCTCGCTATGGTAAAACCTAAGGGTATGGGGAAAACCATAGACTAAGGAGAAAAGCGAGAAGTATGCGTAATGTCTAAAACAAACGTCAAACAGGACGAAAGTAGTGAACTCAATGAAGTATGATCATCCCAGGATGGGTGCCTCATTAAAACCCCGTTAGGTAGCAAAAACCGAGTAGGAAAAATGCTCCTAATTGTAGGAAAAAGAGTACATTAAGATCAAGTGAGTATGCTTCTAGATACCCCTCCTGAGTTAGACATAACTTCTAAATAAGAGAACTACAAGCGATTCAACTCAGATAATTTATGCATACCAATTCCTTGGATGAGCTTCTGAAATGTAGACTTGGGCAATGACTTGGCGAAGAGATCGACCAGGTTGTCCTGGGAACGAATTTGCTTGACTTCAATGTTCTGATGCCACTACTGCTAGTGTGAGTAAAAGAACTTCGGCGCTATGTGTTTGGCGTTGTCTCCCTTGATGTATCCCTTCTTTAACTACTCGATACATGTTGCATTGTCTTCAAAGATCGTCGTATGAAGGTCAACGACTGATGTAAGACCACTAGTGCTTCAAATATGTTTCATAATTTCTCTCAGCCAAAAGTATTCACGCGATGCTTCATGCAGGGCGAGAATCTCAGCATGGTTCGGCGAAGTCGCAACTAGGTTTGCTTGGTAGACCTCCAAGATATAGTGGTGTCTCCAACGGTAAAGACATAGCCCATTTGAGAACATGCCCTATGTAGGTTAGACAGATATCTAACATCTGTTTAACTAATAAGGTGAGAATCAATCCTAGGACTATAGGGGGTGGCAACTAGGGTTGGGCAAACGGGTCTTGGGCCCGCGGGTCGGGGCGGGTACGGGGCGGGTCCTGTTTTTAAATAGGGGAAACGGGGCGGGGCGGGCCTAGGTAATGGCATTTTAGGGTCGGGCCGGTTCCAGATTTATAGAAAAACGGGGCCCCGAACCGGCCCGTTTGTAATTGAAATGGACGGCCCAGATTGAAAATAAACATACCTTCCAATCATGACCGTTGGTTTTAGGTTTTGCCCTAATAGAGTCTTTGCTCTCTCTCGATCGACCTCGACCTTTCCGTCTCTCATCCTCGATTTTCTTCTTGAAGTCCGACATCACCTCACCGTCTCTGAAGTCCGACATCACCTCTTCGTCTTTGAAGTCCGACCTCACCTCGACCTCGACCTCTCCGTCTTTACTCTCTCTCGACCTCGACCTCGATCTTCTTCTTGATTGTTCTCCTCGACATCTCATCCTAGACCTAGGCACCCGCACAACCCATCTTCCCGATTCTTGTTCACTCTTTCCCGACGACATCACCGCCGTCGCGATCATGAGGTTTGGTTTTTAGTTTATACGCACTTTGCTTTTTGTTCAGTTTCCCATACCAAATTCTGCATCTCTATCGTTTTGCAAGTTGTGCGTTTTGCTTTTCTTCTTCCATTCTCGCATCCGGTCGTCCCCTTTCAAGTCTCACTTTGTGTCCTTTTCAGCTCTTCGTTTATTCACTCAACACCGAATCAGTGTAAGGGTTTTCAACTTTTGATTTTTCTTTTGTTTTAAACTGAAAAGTTTGATTTTGATAGATTTGAAAGTATACAAAAGTTGAATCTTTATTTGGGTGAATTTTTAAACCCAGTTTCGCTTATGGATTTTCATGGGTGGTTAAATTGAATTTGGAGGTTTTTATGTGGTCTCAGATGGAAACAGTTATAGTCTTATAGAAGAGATGCAGGATATGAACAGGGTGGAATGTTTTCTATTATTATTATTTTTTTTAAATCAATTTGGGGTTTTGTTTGGTTTTGCTAATTTTGTGCTGTTGAAGCCAGCGATTTGTCTACATATTGAACAAGAGACAATGAAACTGATATGTTGTTTTTTTTTTGTTTAAAATTGAAGAGCCTTTGCCTTCCATCTGTTTTCTCTTTCTGGAATTTCCTTTCTCAGCGTTTTTCAGGCTTATGGTATATACTTTGTTTTTTTATTTTATTTTTTTGGTTCATGATTGGTTTTGCAGGTTTTGTTTGTATAGAGGAGACGGTAACTTGGCTGGTGCATCGTCTGTTTTCAGTCGAGGGTGAGGTTTAGTTTGTTACGTGGGAGCATCTTTATCTGTTCATTTGTCATGTTTTAATTGGATTAAATTTTAGGTTGTCCAAATTATAAGCTATGTTGTATTCTCATATATCAGTTTGGTTGGCTCTTATGTTTATGATGGTTCTGATATAGTAGTTCGATTAAATTTTAGGTTCTCCAAATTAAAAGCTGCGTTTATTTTGATATATCAATTTGGTTGCCTCTTATGTTTTGTGCAGATTGCAATCTGTGCAGTTTGCAATCTATGCAGTTTTGTGCAGATTGCAATCTGTGCAGTTTTTTGTGCAGATTGCAATCTGTGCAGTTTGCAATCTGTGAATATGTACAATTTTTTTTTCTTTCAAACAACCAAAAAAAAAAAAGGACCCGTGGACCCGGCCCGAACCGGCCCGTTTCAACCGCGCCGGGTAATGTCCGGTTCTTATATTAAAAAATGTAATCCCCGGCCCGGCCCGCCCCGTTCCCTTTGAACCTAGGTCCGGTCCGGTCCCTTCAAAATTGGGCCCGGCCCGGCCCGTGCCCAGCCCTAGTGGCAACACTTGAAGATTTGTGGGTATAGAACAAGCCCAAATCTATCGTACCCTTGAGGTAGCGGAAAATGTCTTTAATACCATTCCAGTGCCTGCATGTGGGCTCATTGCTGTATCTTGCCAAAAGATTAACATCAAAGGAGATGTCGGGTCTAGTGCATTGAGCAAAGTACAATAAAGCTCAATTGCACTTAGGTAAGGAACTTCAGGTTCCAATCTCCTCCTCATCCTCCTTTGGATAGAAGGGATCTCGTTTAGCATTTAGAGTCTGAACGACCATGGGTGTACTCCAAAGCTTTGCTTTATCCTCATTAAAACGTACAACACCTTTTGGGTGTAGTTCGATTGATGTACTAGGATTCCATCCGAACAATGCTAGATCTCAAAGCCAAGACAATATCGAGTTTTCCCAAGATCCTTTATCTCAAATTCCGATTTCAAGTGTCTAACAATTTCCTCAAGCTCTGCGGGAGTCCCGATGAGGTTCATGTCATTGACATAAACTGCAACGATTGCAAATTTGGAATATGACTTCTTTATGAACACGCATGGACATAATTCGTTGTTCACATAACCCTGACTTGTCAAATATTCACTCAGACGGTTATACCACATCCGCCCAGATTGTTTTAATCCACATAGTGACCTCCTCAACTTAATTGAGAGAGTGTTTCGTGGTATAGAACTATTTGAACCAGTCAATGGAAGTCCATCTAGAACTTTCATGTATATTTCTCTATCTATATCCCCATAGAGATACATGGTTGCCACGTCCATAAGCTACATATTCAGTTTTTTAGGAAACTACCAAACTGATTAGTTAGCAGAACGTTATAACGTCCATTAAGGGGGAATACGTCTCCTCGTAATCAATCCCAGGGTGCTATAAGCCTTGCGTTATGAGGCGTGCTTTGTATCCCACTATTTCATTCTTCTCATTACGCTTCATCACGAAAACCCATTTGTAGCTAATGGGTTTCACACATGATGGTGTAGGAATGATAAGTCCTAACACTTTATGTTTCACGAGTGAATCAAGTTCGACCTCGATTGCTTGTTTCCAGTTTGACCAATCGGTTCTACGACGGCATTCATCGACGAAACATGGTTTAATGTCATCATTAAGCATGATGTCAGTAGCTACTGACTACGCAAATGCATCATTGATAATCATCTCATTCCTATTCCAAACCTTATCCAATACTGCGTAGTGGACCGATATCTCACGATTCTCGGGAGGCAGGCATGTTTCATCTGAAACATCACAATAATTTAAAATAACCTTATGCGTTGGAACGGGTGAGTGAGCGATGGTCGGATTCAAACTAAGGTCACTAGTTGGTGCCATTTTCCTCTTCCGGGGTTGTGAATCCTTTAAACCAAGGGGTCTGCCACGCTTCAAAGTCGGAGCAGACGATTGGCTAGCCGTCAATGTACCATGTCGCGTGGAAGGTGCAACCTCCCTACCTTCGAGGACAGTCCGGCCTTCCCAGGCGGGTTGTGGACGTACGCGGGGTACATCTATCCTTGCAGGTGCGTTTGCAGCGGGTATATATGATCTTGTTACCTTTGCTAGATCATTAAAAGTATCCAGCATGCTTTGAGCAATGTTCTGAAAATCTATAATTCGTCGCACCTCAGTTTTAGACTGGGCAGTGCGGGAATTTAAATGAGACATAGTGGGAGCATACCACGACAAATTCGTGGCGTTCTACGAGAACGTTAGCATGCTTATCTCCTCCTAACGATAGGAAGATTATCTCATCAAAGTAACAATCCGCAAAATGTGCATTAAAAAGATCTTCTGTCAAGGGTTCTAAGTAGTGAACAATTGATGATGAATCATAACCAACATACATTCCCATTTTTCTTTGAGGACCCATTTTGGTACGTAGTAACGGCGCTATTGGCACATAAATGGTGCACCTAAACACCCGTAAATGCGAGACGTCAGGCTCGTATCCAATGACCAACTGTAATGGTGAATGTGGCTGAATAGTAGTGGGCCTTAGGCTAACCAACATAGTTGTGTGCAATATTGCATAGCCCCAGGTAGATACCGGTAGTTTGGTTCTCATAACCAAAGTCCAAACTATCAATTGAAGACGCTTTATGAAAGCTTCTGTCAGGCCATTTTGGGTGTGAACATGGGGTACAGGATGTTCCATATCAATCCTTACTGACATGCAATAATCATCAAAAGTCTATGACATAAACTCTCCAGTGTTATCCAGTTGTATCGACTTAATTGGATAATCAGGGTGGTGGTCCCTTAACTTAATGATTTGAGCTAGGAGTTTAGTAAACGCAGCGTTGCGTGTGGACAACAAGTAAACATGTGACCATCATGTTGATGCATCAACCAACACCATAAAGTATCTAAATGGTCCGCATGTTGGTTAGATAGTCCACAAATGTCTCCTTGAATCCTTTGAAGAAACTTAGGGGGGTCGTGAATGATCTTTGTATGTGAGGGTTGAGTATTCAACTTCCCTAAAGAACACGCTTTGCATGGCGGGAGTCCAACATAGGGAGGTAACCCATGCCCATGAGATGATTTCAGGATACGACGCATCATGTCACGTCCAAGATGTCCCAAACGGTTATGCCAAAGCAACAAAGTGTCCTGGAACTCAGGCATAGGGTCGGCCATACTGTGGGCTTTTATGTCGCGAATGGTTGTGATGTATAACCCATTTGGCAAATGTTCCAACTTCTCGTGAATACGCTTATGGCCATATTCGTACAAAGTGATACAAAGAAATTTAGAATCATTATCTTTAGTGGTTTTAATATGATATTGATTATCTCGAATATCTCTAAAACTCAGCAACGTTCTTCCGGAATGTGGAGAATAGAGTGCCTCTTTAATGGTTAAGATAGTACCATTGGACAACATGATACGGGCCTTTCCGTATCCTTCAATCAGGTTGGATGGGCCTGAGAGAGTTGTCAAAGAGCTTTCTTGGGTATTAAGTTAGTAAAATAGTGTCGTTCACGCAAGATGGTGTGCATGGTTGTACTGTCTGCCAGACAATTAACTTTCCTACTAAACATACCTAGAAATAAATTGATTGAATTGGTCACATGCATAAATATAAGTCCATTCATTCAATTAAGAAATTCAAGAAAATAATATCCATCCAAAATAACAATCCATAATTCAAAACAAACCAAAACCAAACAAATTATTCCAAATACTTAGAAAAATTGTTCAAAATTAAACCATAACCCTAGAAAAATAAGAGGGGGGAAAGGCTGGTCACTCCTAGTGGGTTCGACCACTAGGGATAAACACCCTAAAAACATGTCTAATTTATTCATCCATAGGAGCTGACGCCTCCTAAAAATCTGATATCTCCATTGATGTAGTAGCATCTTCCGGATGATTTACAAGTGCAAAGTCAGACTCACAACAGGAATGATACTTGGCAATAGCCTCGAGGGAAGCTCGGCATACACATAACCAATGATTACTTGATCCATAACGGTAGCACATGTCCAGTTCAGTAGAAGCAGGATGAACCGAAGCTTTGCCCTTATTCTTGAAGTTTGGGGCCTTAAGGGCAAGTAGTGGACGCTGCTGGGTCACATTTCCTCCCTTAGGTACGGCATTCTGCTGACCTTGGGCCCGTGGTTGAGTTTGCCACCCATTGCTATAGCCACGACAGTTCTTTCGTCGTTTGT